CCCTGTGAACAACAAACGTCGTTCGTCCAGAAAGAGCAGTGAGCCTAGCTTCGTCAACCCACCCACACCGCGGACCCAAGCAAACTACGTACCAAGAATCCTCTCGCAGCCAGAACATGTAGTCTTCCATGATGCTGGCCATTTCGACTCCCTGAAAGCGTGCAACAGCACACGGGAGCGCGCGGTGAACAGGGGTTCTATAACATTGGGCGTCCCAGGCCTTGGCGACGCGCGCGCGCGGGGAGGGGTACCTCCAGGGTGAGGAATTTGATCGCCCCCGTTTCGGCCGTGGTGGTGAGGGTGCAGGAATTGACGGTGAAGCTGATCTCGCACACGTCCCAGTAGGGAATGCGCCGCAGTTTTTGCCAAGAGGCTGCACGGGTAGTGAGTGGTGAGCTCTGTCAATACCGCACGCACGTGTTTCGTGTGTGTGTGTGTTGTGTGTGTTGTGTGTGGCTAAATTACTGGGAGACGGGATCGTAGATTGATAGCCCGGGGATGCCGATACCCACTATGCACTCGTCGGGTAAGTCCAGATCCGACGTCTCCAGCTTCACCGAGCGGAACACGCTCTGCACGCACGCACGACACGGCATGACACAAGGCTGTGTGAGTTGAGTGACTTGCGCGTGGGGGGGGGCAAAGAGGAATCAGTCAAGAGAGCAGCAGATGCTCTTTTGGGGGGGGGGGTGTTGTCGAACCAGTCGTAGAAGGGCAGCTCTTTCGCCAGTTTCAGATACTGGGATGAGAATGTTGTTGTCATCGTCCTTGATTGATTGAGACACGCAACGTCAGTAAGCTTGATTGAGCAAACACCAGAACACACAGAACACACAGAACACACACGACACACACACGACACACACACACACACACGACACACACACACGACACACGACATCTCTGCTCGTCGAATAGCAGGTGGGTACCATCTTCATCCTCTTGATCTTTGCTACTTCGGTTTCGATGAGGATGCCCCACTCGCCGGCAGACTTGGTGGCCCATATGTGCCGGAGGCACCAGCGAAGGCACACTGCATCCGACCGGGCGAGGAGAAAAGAAGTTCAGCATCCACAACCCACACCAGCCCACACACCGGACAAACAGAAAATGATGGTCGCGCGGCTAGTGACGCGTCCAAGGGGCAAGGGCCGTACATGCTGCCCGGGTTGGTTGCGAGGGTCTGGTGCGCGCTGTCAATGATCACCTTGGCCGCCGCAGCAA